AAGCAACAACTTGAGCAACGATAAGAACGGCTGGCGACGGGGAGAAAATAAATAGAATTTTTGGAGTAATATCTCTGGCGGAACTTCTCTTCTTATCCCATGTCTCGGGCGAGGAGAACAGAACCACGGTCTCTTCGTCGCGGAAACAGTCTCTCGTAAATATTTTCTTCGGAACCAAATGATTTAGAAGAAGAAAATAAAAATTAGGGAAACTTAAAAAAAATTATATATCTCTCTTCTCAAACCGAAATTAAAAAATCAAAAGGTTTCTTAATTCTTTTTTTTCTTTCTCTCTCTTATCTTCTTCTTCCCAGTATTTCTTTCTTTTTTCCTTTTTTTCTCGGATCACCGCAGAGCAAAATAAGCGAAGATAGTCCACGTTGGGGTGTCACACGCACACACACGCACACACGCACTCAGGGGCGGGTCGCGGCGCAGGAGACAGACGGACCGCCGCTGTTTCGCCGCCGCCTGGGTCGAGTGCCAGTGGTGGACTGAGCGGCGAGTGGGCGGTAGCAGCGAGACGTCCTCACACTACAGGGTCCGCTGGGTGACTGAGCAGTGGTGGCCGAGGCGGTCCCCCGTCCACCCTCCTCCACCACCCTCCTCCTCCTCCTCCTCCTTCCTCCCTCCTCCTCCCTCCTCCCTCCTTCTTCCTCCTCCTCGCCGTTGCCTCGCCTCACGGACCCCGCCGCGACCCCGCCACACACACACATACATACACACACACAGGCACCCACTCACACGCACATACACGCATACGTACACACACATGCTCTCCGCCGATACGCACATAGACTTTTAGTTCCGAAAGTTTTTTTTTTTTATTCTTTTATTCTTATTTTTTGCGCGAGATGGACGCCGTATGAAGTCGGGAAGACCGTAGGCTCGGCGCGGCGGCGGAGGTCGGCGAGAGCGCGAATCGGCCGCCGTACCTGACAATCGCCTTCCGATCCCGCATCAGCCGTTAATGTCAATCTGATTTCTCATCCCCCTTCTTTTTATCCCCCCCCCCTCCTTATTCCCCTCTTTCCATACCCCCTCTCCCCTCTTTTATCGAGAGCTATACCTACCCTCCCCCCCCCTCCTCCTCCTTCTTCCCCATCTCCCTCTTTCCCCCCCATTTCTCTTACCATTTTTTCCCTCTCTCTCTGTACAGGCGATATTCCCAGTAGAATATCATATAGCTGTTTTATGCCGCGGTGTGTGCGAGTGTGTGTGTGTGTCTCCCTCCGTCCGTGCGTGCGTTCGTGTGTGCGTGCGCGCGGGCGACGGGGCAGGTGGCGGCGGCCGGGGTCAGGCAGGAGGCAGGCCAGGGCGGAGATGGCGACCGGCGACTCGGGCGGTGGAGCCATCTAGCGGCCGATGCCTCAACCCACTTCCGATACCGCGCAACCCCGCGCGGACACGGCACAACGCAACGCACGTACGCACACACACACGCACATACACACACGCACACTAGCTCACACGTCGCGCGGTGCTCATGTTGATGCTGCTCCGCAAAAATGACTGCTCCTCGCGTGCGTGTCTCTCTCTCTCTCTCTCTCTCTCTTCTCTCTCTCTCTCTTCTCTCTCTCTCTCTCTCTCTCTCTCTCTCTCTCTCTCTCTCTCTCTCTCTGCTCCTCCTCTCTCTCTTCTCCTCTCTCTCTTCTCCTCTCTCCTCTCTCCTCTCCTCTCTCTCTCTCATCTATCTCCTCCTTCTCTCTCTCTGCTCTCTCTGCACCTTGCTCTATCTCTTCCACAACAGCCGGATATGCAGCGCCTAAGATAAGCCTTTGCACGTCGGAAAATAACAGCATGGTAACAGTATGTCTCCGTTTCTGCTTTCTCGAGGTTTCAATAATTCTATCCTTTTATTTATCTTGTATTACTAGATTCGTGATTGTATTTGCAAGATACAATAGATTGAGGGATTGATTGGTCTTGTGATTTTAGTGTAAAGAAGGGAAATACGTTATGAGAGAGAGAGAGAGAGAGAGAGAGAGAGAGAGAGAGAGAGAGAGAGAGAGAGAGAGAGAGAGAGAGAGAAGAGAGAGAGAGAGAGAGAGAGAGAAAGAGAGAGAGAAAGAGAGAGAGAGAAGAGAGAGAGAGAGAAGAGAGAGAGAGAGAGAGAGGAATAGGAAAAGGAAATATTGTTCGTAGTATTATTTTTTTTTTTTTATTTTTTTTCGGTCGGAGTGACGTTAAAGATTTCGTTAAAGTGAATTATAGCGTATTATATAACGTGAAATCTTCCTTTAAAAAAAGTCCTTATATTCATCCATTTGTAAATAAACTCGGTGACTAAGATACTTCCTAAATATTACAAGAAAGAGAGATAAAGATATTTGATGAAAGAAAAATGTAAGAGAGATATTAATAAAGATGCGTAATTAACGAGAGAAAAAATAGACATTCCGATCGGCTAAGAAGGGAGAGACGGGGGAGGGGGAGGGGGAGGGAGAGAGGGGGGAGGGGGGATGGGGAGGCTTGGGCGGGGAGCCATCTCACGTAAAAG